AAAGATCTCCTGGATGGAGAATTAGTGCAGGGAAAGCGCCCCAGAGGGAGACCACAGCTGTGATCCAAGGAGATCTGCCAGCGGGATCTAAAGGCCTTAGGAATGGACCTCAACAGATGGGAAACCTTGACCTCTGAGCGTTCAGCCTGGAGGCAGGCGGTGCATCACGGCCTCTCCCATTTTGAATAAGAGACCCTTGTCCAGCAGGGCAAGGCCAAGAGGCCATCCCTAAACAGCAAAACCAGGGAGCTGGACAGGGGACAGATTGTATTTGTCTTCTGTGTGGAAGGAATTGTTGTCACTCTCGAATTGTCCTTCTCAGCCACACAAGACACTGTTCCAAGTCCTCTATTCAGAGCATGTGACCCTCGTCTCTCGAGACTGAAGGATGCCTAATAAATCGCTTAACTATACTGTAGATACAATATGTGTATAACTCCTGGCTTTAATAAATGAGGCGTTGTGCATCTAGAAGGACTGCCTAGGAGCTTACCTCCCTCTGTATCTGGCTGATTAGCCTGCTTTTGTTTTTCAGCTGGTCCCTGAGACTTGAGACCGCTCTGTTTGCACCTAGTACTGAAAGACTTGGGTGTCTGGAGGGATAACCTTGCAAGAGGAAGACTTCCACAGGGGCCGTTCGGTCTGTGCTGACCCTCGGGCTGTTAAACCGCACTCATTCTAAATAAAGGCCAAGAATTCATTCAACCCACAGGGCCATTTTGGGGGAGGGGGAGAATCATCCATTCATGGGCTCACTCCGAAGTCACAGGAGCTGTATGGGAAATGAGGATCAAAGGGAGGGGAAGATGAAAGAAGGCAAAGAAGTCCAGCCTGGAACAGCCCTTGGACTGAACCCCAGTGCTGAGGTCATGGGGCTGCCAGAAGGATGAGATCAGGTTGCATGATGGTTTTTCAAGATCACGTTCCTCTGTTACCCATAGCAGATGTTACGGGGAACTGCAGCACAGCCGTGGAAAACCTCTGTCTGACCACTTCTGCTTAGCAACGTGCCGTGCAAATTAATCCGTGTCTGCTCGATATATAAACCTGCTGTGCATTACCCATACCCTCACCCCCATTTTTCCCTTGTGCTGTAGAAGAGCAGAGACCAATCCCGTCAAAAGGTGTAACCGCTATTTTCAGTAATGAGGCACGGCTGCCTCTCATAATAATGCACGGAGATATGATCCATTCTATTAATGTTTTTGCTGCGTTTATAACACGCACACCCACCCACCCACATCCTCCAGTGAGGTCAAGGCAGTGTATGTAGTGGCTGCGATCCATGCTTTGTTGATGTGTTCGCTCTGTGAGGTAGGCCAGGCGACGAGAGTGTCCATGGTTCCAAGCGAAGTGGCATCTCTACACAGATCTTCTGATGCTTTTAACTCTCTGGCGTGTGGCTTAGCCACGTTGCTGGAGAGGAGTTAAAACTGAAGCCGCCGTCTGATTTTTCTCATCGCCGTAAGTTGGAATGGACCTGATGGCACGCCATCGTTTTCGTTGTTATTATTACCCTGATATAGAAGGTTGGTTTGGCAGAGTGTGAAGCTAGGACTCAGGAGACGCTAGGCAGAGTGTGAAGCTAGGACTCAAATCTTTGCTCTGTCATAGAAGCCCACTGATGAGGGTGGGGTGGGCACAGATCTAACCACGCCTTACCTATCTCACGCACCACGGAAACCCTGCTAGGGTCTACCTTATGTCAGGTGACACAGAACAGCCAAGAGTGCTGATGCGGATGTAAAGGGACATTTTTGTGTCCTGGGTTTTGTCACAGCTGGGAAGGGCCATGTTTTACGGGGTTACGTCATTGTTTTGCCCGTCAAGAATATCCACATTTTTTTTAAAGCAAGCATGAGAACTCGGTGGATGGGATGGAATCCTAAAACATCCACGAAACTTTTATTGCACCATCTCAGGGTGTCCCTTTGGGAGTGGGGAGAAGCTTTGAAGCAATGGGATTCTTTGTAGGCAAGTAACTTTAGTAGCTCGAGCGCCGGCTTATTGAAAAAAAAAGTATTTGCAAGTTCCTGAGCCTGTAAAAATGACTTTTCTTTGGGTTTTTTTTGGGGAGGAGGGGAATAAAGAGCCCGAGAATCCGGTGCCCCAGGCAGTTTTCAGCTTCTCACACCTCCCCTGGCTCGTTGACAAAAGATAAACCGTGTGTGTGTGTGTGTTGGTGTGTGTGTGTGTGTGAGATCATTTCATGGAAGAATGAAAGACCATTGTCTTGTAGACTTTAGACCTTGACTGTCGAGTGCTAAGATTCTGAACCTGAGAGAAAGCACAACGAGAAAGCTGGTGACTCTGAGCAGATGGTGGGAGCAGATGGTGAATGGCATCCCGGTGGTGGTCCAAACTTTCCAGGAACTCTCCAAGGTTCTGAAATGTCTCCAAGATAGGTTCAGCGAGTTAGACAGAGCCTTTAAAATTCAGACGGAAACCCAAAATGAATTCAGTACCAGCTCCCCAAAACCAGTTTATGTGCCACCGCCAAGCAAAATGGACCAATTCATCTTTCCGAGCAGACTTCCTTGAGTTTGTCAGAGTCTGGCTTTGGATCTCTGGATTTAGCCACGCTTGTGATGGTTCCACCTGGTTGTTCTTCTGTTCTCTGGCAAGGCAGAGGCTCCATAATCCTCTACACGGTGGGAACATTGGCCAGTCCCAGCTGGTTAAGAAGACCTCTGCAGTTCTTGTGCTGCTTCACTCAAATGCGCCGTTCCGAGTTGTGCAGCTCAGAGGTGTTGCTTTTTTCAGACTACATCTCCCAGGAGGCCCCAGCCAGTGTGGCCACCCTGAAAGCTGTAGTCCGAAGAAGTAGCTTTTCCAAGCTCTGAGACTGGCAGGAATTGACTACCAAGAGTCTCTGTGGTCAAACGGAGGAGATGGGGCAAAATCTTGTGGGGCAAAATCTTGTGGCTGCTTCTAACCGCTTAAAGGAAGAGATGAGTTGGGGGCGTTGAGGGAACACTGAATTATAAGAACATGCTCTGAGGCACTTATGGGATGCCACTGGGCATGGTGGCCCCCATTGAAAGAGGAGACCAAATGCATAGGTTTAACCCTGAGCCCTCCCATTGAATTCAATGGAGTCGTCGTAAGGGGACCCCTTGGGATTGCTGGAGATCTTGAGAGCGGCTAAGTAGGAACCATACCAGCCTCCTGTGTTGCTCACTCCCTTTTCTCCTTCTCTTCTTGTTTTGCAGAGTGTTCAAGAAGGCCAGTCCTAACGGCAAGGTAGGTTGAAACTTCCTTTCCGATGCTTGGGTTTGGGGAGGTGGAAGGGAAGAGAGACGGACCTGGGGGAAGTTACTTCTGCGCAGTTCTAGGAATCCTCCAGCCAACCCACGGACTGGGAATTCTGGGGGGGTTTAACTGCAAGGAAGTCACTTTTGCACGCTCTGACAGCTGTAGAGGCCAAACCGAAGTCTTTGCAAGCCCATGGTCATCAGTAGCCACATTCAACAGAGGGGACCTGTGGCCCTCCAGGGGGTCCCGGCCCATTTTGAAGGGGGCCACAGACCGGAGACAGATCTTCACACACACCACCTTCTAAGGTTCCTTATGCGACCTCTCTCACCCTGATTCAGTTTATATTGGTTTCCTATTGTGTTGATGACCGTGGCCGAAAGAATTTGAGAATTTAAGAACAGTGATGAAGTTAAGAAACAGAGAAGAAAATCACAGGCAGATAGGAAATAAAATAAAGAAGCTTGTCCATCGGGGTAGGAGAGCCTCGGCCATTTTAGGAAGGGGTGCCAACTGTGTGTAAAGATGTGTATGAATTACTACGTTGTTCACACCGGCCTCTGCCTGCCGTCGTATTCTTGTGAGCTGTGTCCTTCGGAGGGGGGGGTCTGTCTTGTTCCTCGTGGATTGGGGAGAGTTCTGCCTTCAGCGTGAAAAGTCCGTCGATTTCAATGGTGGTTGGTGGGGACCGGCTGGGAGGCTCTCTTGACGAATCTTTGACAGGATGAGGAGACAAACTTGCCTCCCACGGTTTGTGGGGGAGTCTCTCTTGAGAGCTCCTTCAGGGGCATCTACCTGAGTGGCATGGTTTTGAAAACTGAAAAAGAGGCTGCTTCCTTCTCCAAGGCTGGTTCACGTAAAAAGCCCCCCCCCCGGGCTGGACAGACCCATGTTTGGTCTTTAGAGTTTTCACAGGTCCCTGTGAAAGTTACACCTAAGCATCCCTTGTGAATCCAAGTGAATAAGCTGGAAAACGAACAAGAGTAGTGCATGAGAGGAGAAGCCCAGGATTTCAAAAGGAGTGGTGGTGGCTTTTGTTCACAGACCAGGGGTAGAGAGGTAAGATTTCTGGACATTTTGGAGCCATATAAAATGGCTTTGTGGGGGGAACCTCTTTTCCCCTTCCAATTTTCTGGGTTGTTTTTTCCAGGCCTTCCCCATCTCTCGGTGTGGGTTGGAAGAGAGGTGGCGATCGCAAAGGGCCAGCAAAATAGGGTGGCTATGCAGGGAGATTTTTAAGTCTTTGTGTGGAGGGTGGGTGGTGGCTCTGTGTCCATCCTGTCACTGCCATTTTAGGGACCTTCTAACCACGTGCAACACCCTCCCATTCACCCACCTTACCTCTTGTGTTATTCTGAGACATTTGGGGGAAATGAGGTGTCCCCCCTTCAGTGGCAGCCATAGGTTATCGTGGCGTTCATCATCCAAGCGCTCTAGAATGAGGTAACTCTGAGGCATTTGGGGGGCAAGGAGCGTCTGTTCTGAAAGAGAAAGGGGGTCGCAGTAAAAGAAATGGGGTGAGCGTGTAGTTAAGCAGCTGGTCATTTTGAAAGAGGGGAACAACTAAGCCCCTCTAAGGCTTATGGGCTAGATCCACCCTTCGTCTGGCATAGAAGACGGATTCAGGAGGGCTCAAGGGACTGGTGGCTAACGGGACCCACTCTTTTCAGGAGGTCCTCTTCTAAGCAGGACTAAAAGTCGGATGTGGCTGGCTGTTTGGGAAAGGGTACAGGTCGGTGTAGAGAGCAAGTCATGCTAAGGTGTGGTGTTCAGGGTGAGTCGTGTTAAGGCGTACTGTTATGCCTCTGGGTTGTAATGGAATTACAGTATAAGGGCCAGAATCTGATTTGCCTACCCCACCGGCTAAGTCCATCGGTGTAAATCTCACCAGCAAATGGCCAGCGTGCCATAGCTAGTGCCCGCCGTGACCTCTCAACCTGTGGCTGAAATTTACATCGGTGGAGTTGCGCTGGTGCAGTGTCTCAGTTGGATTCCAGCAGTTTTCTCTGTTCTGCGATTCGAAAAAAAAGTTACGAAATTCTGCATCAGAGCAAAGAATACCCCAGAAGGTGTATGAATTAGGCCACGTTGCTGATCTTGGGGTGGTGATGTTAGATTTGTGTTTTTAAACGACAGCGTCAAGAATTCCCTAGACAGGCTGCCGTTGTCATCTGAAAAGCATGAACCCCCACACTGCTAGTTTTTGCAGTTTATTGCTCACGGACCTTGAACCTGTACTTGGAGCGGCAATAGAACCTAGAGAGGAACAGAGAATCTGGAGCCTTCAGGTGGATCAGCAAAGAAAGACCAGAAGACATTTCGATGTACTTCAGCTGCCTGCAAACCACAGAGTCGAGGTTTGCAGTCAGGAAAGCTGGTATTCTGGGATTTCCCCCCAACCCAGTGGGACTTAGATAAAATTGACCGGTGCTTACTACACTTTGCGGGGAAATGGAAGATGGTCCCTCAAGACCCTTCCATCTGCCTGGGCTGAAACAAGGACCACACCTCCGCTTTAAAAACTGAAAATGTGGGGTGTGGTGTGGTGAGGAGGACATAGTAATGCTGTTAAGGTGAAAGAGGATTCCTGCTCCTTGATACCTGTTGATCATCTAGCTAGCCAAGGCACATCTTAAAAATGGGAGGAGGGTGCATGAGTCTTGGTTCTACTCCCCGGGAAAGTATTCTTCAGCTGTGGGATATCCCATCAGCATTCCTGCTGAACCCCTACTCACTCCTCTCTGCATTCTTTTTTTAAAAAACGCAAAGGTTTTGTACAAAGTTTTTTGACAAGACTCAGGGGTTTGTTGCACCAAACAGTGCAATGGAAAAGATATTTTCAGTGGCCCTGGAGTCTGGGAAGTCCTCCGACTTTCCATTACACCATTCCAATTTGAGGGTTTTTATGGATAGTTTAGAAAGGACGTGGGTGGCACTGCGGGTTAAACCACAGAAGCCTCTGGGCTGCAAGATCAGAAGAACCACCATCGTGAGATCGAATCCACGGGATGGAGGGAGCTCCCGTCGCTTGTCCCAACTCCTGACAACCTAGCCGTTCAAAAGCACGTAAAAAAATGTGAGTAGATAAATAGGGACCACCTCGGTGGGAAGGTCATGGCATTCCGTTCTAGTCGCGCTGGCCATGTGACCACAGAAACTGTCTTCAGATAAAACGCTGGCTCTACGGCTTGGAGACGGGGATGAGCACCGTGCCCTAGAGTCAGACGCGACTGGACTCAATGTCAAGGGGAACCTTTACCTTTACCTATGGATAGTTTAGTCAGTTAGGTCTCTGGCTGCAGAGCCAGAGGTTGTGAGTTCGATTCCCCCACTGTGTCTCCCGGGAGAAGAGCCAGCCTGGGTGGCCTTGGGCCAGCTGCACAGGAGTCCCAGAACTGACCCCAGAAGAAGGAAACAGGGAACCCTTTCTGTGTCATCTCTACCTGAAAAACCCTAAAAACAGGGTCTCCAGAAGTCAACACTGACTTGAATGGCACATGACGGTCTCACTCATATAGCAGACTAGAGACCAGTTTGGGTGGGGCAGAGGGGGTTCTAGCGAACTGCTCTCGGAGTGGGGAGGAAGATTTAGCGCTGTTCTGCCCCAGCGTTGTCTCCCCTTTTCTGAAACCCAGCCTTTCTGCCTCTCCCCAGCAATAATCACGAGGGGTCCGCTCTATCCTTCACCCGGCTGGCAGGTTCAGGGTCTCCCCATGGGCTCCTGTCCTTCGGTGCCACGAAGGTGGAGCTTTAGCGCTGGCAGGTTAAGGAGACCCCAGCAAGCCGTGGTTGGTAAACAAAGCCAACCACACCATCAGAGTCTGATTCGAACACTGTGCGCATCACTGTGCGCCTCGGGGATGAGGAAGAGGGGACCCGGCAGTCGGTCGAGGCCTGCGTTCGAGGGTGCGCTGCAATCTCAGCCAGACCGGGGAGAGGTTGCTCCGAAGCTCGAGTTGTTGGCTTTTACGGTGGAAATAATAATGTTAAAAAACGACGGTTTGGCTCCTTATTTCTGACCCTTGCCGTTCGATTGCCTTGACTCCAAAGTCAGAAAGCTTTATGCATTTTTTTAACCCCAAGGGACAGTAAAATGAATTTGTTTTGGAATGAAGAATCTGAGCTCAGAGGTTTTTGACAGCAAACCAACCTCTAAAGAAGAGGCTGCCGTCGTTTGTGGTTGAGTGCCATCCAGCTGCTTGTGAAGTCCTAGTGACCCTGTGGTGACGCACCCAGGCATCTGCCAGCGCTTGCCAACTCAAGCCTGTGGCTCTCCCTTTAATCCACCAATCCGTCCGAGGTTGATTATTCCTCTTTTCCTGCTGCCTTTGACTTTTCGTAGCGCCGTCCATCTTTCCCAGTGAGTTTTCTCTTCTTACGCTGTGGCCAAAGCACGCCAGCCTCCGTTTCATCCCCCACACTCTGTTCCAACGCCACACTTCAAATGAATCATACCTTACTCACCCCCCTGGGTCGGCTCTCCTCATTGCTCAGGTTTTGTATCTGTGCCTAGTAAAAATCAGGAATACCCCCCCCCCAAAAAAAAATCTGGATGTTCTTGGCCTTCATAAGCAAAGGCTTTGGGGAAGTGACAGCTGTGTAGGCTTCAAGGTCTCACAAAAATGCGTGTCATTTACTTGCTGCAGCAAAGGGGTGCAGCTACGGTGGTAGAACCTGTTTGAAATAGAGCAGAACGCCACTCTGGGCGTTCTGCAGGTCTCTGTCCAAAAAAGCAATTTTTCAAAGCTCGAGGGGAGCCGTTCCAGAGCAGAATCCTTGCTTGCTGCAAGAAACAAGGTGAACCTTCCACCCAAGACGAATCAAGTGGTCGTGGGAAATGGAGAGGCTTTAGATCTTTTGGATCCGGAAGTCCCAACCTAGCCAGCGGGTGGACCTCTTGGGGGATCCTGGGATAACATGTCCAGTGGTTTCTGGGAGTTGCCCCATTTCCACGTTCTGGGGCCCTTAACCTTTACGTCCAGGGCTCT